ATCTTGTTATTCATCTCGCAAGAGAATTGGAACTTGGTGGTCCTATGTAGTACCGATGGATGTATGCTTTCGAGCATTATATGCATCATCTGAAGAAGATGGTCAAAAATAACAGCAAGGTGGAAGGATCTATAGTCGCGCAAGTGATTAATGAAGAAACTGCAATCTTCGCTGATAACTATTTTCCATCAGAAGTGCATACAAAAAACCGAAGACCTGATCGGCATGATGACAGAGGGGAGAGAGCAACATATCATGTTACTGTCCCAAGCATGTTCAAAGAAATAGGACGACTTAGTGGAAAACCCACGAAGCGGAGACTTACGGAGACTGAGCACACTCATTTGCAAACATATATGCTCACCAACTGTGAAAATGTTCTACAATATGAGAGGTAAAAGTAGTTATTCATTTAAATTGTTAGATTAATATTCAACAATTTAATCTCATATAGATAATATCTTTTTATATAGTGTTTATATGGCAGAGTTGCGTATGACTCACAGGCATGCGACAGAAGATGAGCTTCAACAACTCAGACATAACGGATTTGCTGCATGGCTTCTTAGATATGTGAGTCATAATATATCATATTACCCTATGGATATGATTAGTTTATATTTAATTTAAAGTAACTAACTTTTCACTCATATATGTTTTTAATTTATAGGTGAATGATGGTTTGGCCATAGGTTTTGTGTTTGATGATTGGATACATGAATTTGTGCAGGGATCAAACTATGTGGTCAGATCATATCCAAAATATTGTACACGAGGATATGCATTCACAAGGAAAGATCATTCTAAGACAAAATATGTCTACTACGGAAACATAGAAGAAATATTGGAAATCTAGTTTCCTGGTATGGTTGGATTGCGGTGTGTAGTATTCTATTGTGAGTGGTATGACACCACCCCAAATAGAGGAGTGAAGACTGATGCGTTTGGGGTTAAATCGGTTCATTCGTGGCGGAAACTTCAATATTATGATCCCTTCATTCTTGCTTCGCAACCTGATCAGGTATGTCAATTTCTTCATAATTAATGGTTTATATTTTACTAATACCTTGTATAATTGATAGTTGTGCTACATCAGTTACCCTCGGGTGACATACAGAGATGATCCATGGGTCACTGTAACGCAAATCAACCCAAGAGGACGAGTGGACGAAGAAAATGAACAGTTACATCCAGACTCTACCAGCAACGTGACTACAGTTGAAGATTTGGCAGATGTTGAACTCGTTGAGAATTTTAACGAGTTTGGACTTGATGATGTTGTACATTCAGAGGACGAAGCTGAGGTTGGGGAGTTTGATGAAAATTCTAAAAATTCTGATTAGGAATACTTATTATTTGACTTGTATTTATTAGTTGGTGTACATCTTACATAAGGTGTATTTTTTTTTTAAAAAAAAAAACAAGTTCGTCGGTATTCTGTCACTATATACCGATGATATAGTGACGAAATGTGGTTTCATTCAAAAAAACACTAGTCCTCGGAAATTTGTCGGAAAATACCGAAGACATTCCGATGAACTTGATCAGTTCGTCGGAATGTCGTCGGTATTTTCCGACGAATTTCGGAGGACTAGTGCTTTTAAAAAATTTCATATCAAAAAAATATATAAATTTGGAAACCAAAACTATAAAAATAATACATAATAAGTGTTTAGTATAGTATTAGATCGCAACGGTTCAAATATAATAACTCATTAAAATATTTATACATGTAAATCATTGTTTTCATAACATCTCATCTTAACACTCATGTACTTATACAATCATATTCATATAATCAAACACTACAAAATGTTTTTGTGTAAAATCGTGTTTTGAACACATTTATATAGTTAAATCTTTATGCAAATACTATACTCATTTGGAAAGATTTGGATTTTTCATTTAGAAACTTGTTTTAAACCCCTAAACACTATGTCGTCGGAATTCTGTCGGTATATAGTGACGGAATTCCGACGAAATCATATTACCCGAGAAAACCAAACCGGGTGAAAATTTACGCGAACCGCCAATCGGTTTAAATTTAATGATTCCGACGGAATTCCGACGAACACGGGTCCGTCGGAATCATTAAAATAAAAACCCTACCTTCTTCCTTCTTCGACATTTCCGCCTCCCTCTCTTAATTTTGTCCGATTTCTCTCTCTTTGATGGCGATTCCGGCGATTTCCGAGCTCTCTTCTCCGACGAATCCTCTCCACAAGCTCACATCTCTTCCCCACACCACAAATCATGTAAGATTCTATAAACCCTTTGTATATTTCAAATTTTTAGGATTTAGGATGTTAGATCTTAGGATTTGAGGTTGTTTGATTGAAAACTCTAGGATTGAGTGGATAGTTTAGGATCTATTAGCTAGGATTGTTGTTTGGATTGTTTTTTTTTTTTTTTTTGGAATTATATTGTGTTTTTTTTGTATTTTTCAAACGTTTTCTAATTTTTAAAAGCGTTTTTTTTTAAAAAAAACGTTTTTGGGGGTTTCCAGTAATATACTATATATAATAAACGTTTTGTCATTTTAATATATATTTAACAACTTTTTATATACTTGATAAACGTTTTATAAGTATTTTTAATAAAAAACGATTTTATATTTTTATATATATAAAAATGTATATAATTATGTTTTATATATTTAACAACCTGATCTATATTTATAATTTTTTAAAAAAATATTTTAAATTTTTTATACATACATATATTTATAAATCATTTTTAGATGTAAAAATAAGTTTTAATATTTTTTTCTTGAAAAGCTTTGAAAAGAATTCTGATGTATTATAATTTTTTTTAGGTCCGAGGATGCACCCACCCGTCCCGCATTTCCCCGTCGTCCCTCATACCATGGCGGCCGAGGTAGTTCGGTGAGCAGTTCCCGTGCATCGGGATCGTCTCACGAACATTACTCGGTTCCCGGATATGTTCCTGCTCCCCCTCCATATGTTCCCCTCCCGTTGTTGAGAAGGATCCGGGGGTCATGTCAGTTGAACAATTGGTTCAACAACTAGGTAGAGAGTATCTCCCGGTTCTCCATCCCAACCCACAGCCGGGATATACGACTTGGTCATTATTTTTATTTTATTTATAGAATTATGTTTTTTACATTAATTAACTTTCTAACATGCATTTTTTAAAAGGTTCACCAAGTCGAACAATGGCATTAGCAGGAGCATCAACAATATGATGTATTCCATGCTCCGTATCGGATATCCGAAGTGGAGTGTGATCCCTCACAAGGACCGGGAGTTATGGTTCGTCAGTTTGCGGTAATTCTTCAATTTTTTTAAAGCACTTTCAATTTGTTTATATATATATATAAGATACATATTAAATTATGTGTGTTTTGTAGCAAGAATTCACTTGGGAGTCTGGTCTCACGAAAACAATCCGTCAGAGATTCAACAAAAAGGCCATAGACTCTTATACGAAGCAGATCAACGCGTGTATGACAGTATGGCAGAAGAACAAGAGGCCACGGTTCATCAACGGGACGGTATGGGAGCAGTTGATAGTCCATTGGAGGAAGGACGAGACTGCAACGACATCTCGCAAGAACTCCAAGAACCGGAAGATCAATAGTGGCGGGCAAGGTATGTATGTGCACAACCTCGGCGCTTGCTCTATGTCTTCTAAGAAAGATCAACTTGTAAGTTCTATTTTTTTATTTAAACTTTTTTTTTAATTTAAATAAATATTTTTATATTATTCCTTGGCTAATGGTTGTTTTTTAGATCGAAGCAAATGACGATAATCCCGTTGATCGTCTCATTCTCATTGAGGAAGCTCACACTAACAAGAAGACGGGTCAAGTTCAAGACCCCGTGATCAGATCTGTCGTTGAGTTGGCGGAAACTCAAAAAGAAGCTCTTCTAGCTTCTCAGCTTCTCTCTGATATACGGCGATTCTACGAGAGCTTCAACCAACATGTTCCGGTTGCAAATAAATGATATGGTTGAAAAGGTAATTTTTTAATTAATATATTTATTTTATAATGTAGTTTACTAACCTAAATATTTATGTGGGCGGTTCCTAAAAGGAAAGGAGGTCGTTTAGTTGGGTTGGCTCGTCGTTCTTCTTCGTGTCCAGCGTCTTCTTCGCAAGCTTCGTATACCTATCCCATGATTCTGGAGCAGCTACAGAATAATGATGAACGGATTATGGCATTGGAGGAGCAGAACACCACTATCATTGCTGAGCTGGAATCCCAAAAGAAGACCAATGCCCAGATAATGGAAAAGCTAGATCGTTTGTTTCCTTCTGAGTTTTAAAATTTTATGAATGTTTTTTTTCTATTTACGTTTGTATGAATTTAAATTCTATTATATTATTAGTTTTAAATTCATATTTGTTTATTTATATTAATTTTAAATATAAAAAAATATTTAAAGGTAAAAAAAATTACAATAAAAATGGTATATTCCAACGACATTTGTTCGTCGGTATATTCTAACGACATTGGTTCGTTAGAATATACTGATGACTCAATGTCATCGGAAAATACCGACAAAACTCGGTCGTTAGTATTTTCTGACGAACCTATGTCGTCAGTATATTCTGACGAACCAATGTCGTTGGAATATACCGACGAACCATTTCCTCAAAATATACTGACGACCTTGGTTCGTCAGAATTTACCGATGGCTTTTGTTCGTCGAAGGTAGTGATTCCGATGAATTCTGTCCTCGAAAGGTGTTATCGGAGTTTCGTCGGAAGTTCGTCAGAATTTGGTTTCTTGGTATTCGTTTGAAAGTCGTCGGAAACTCCAACGAAATTCTGACGAATTATTTTTTTCTAACGAAATGATACCGATGACCACTTTCGTCGGAAATTCGTCAAAATATGTTTATTCCGACGAATTTCAGACGATTTTGTCTGTCAGTATCCGCCTATTTTCTTGTAGTGTTAGGCAGAGAGTGTTGCGTGCAACGAAGTCTAGTAGAAGTTTTCTGTAGTGAGAATCATCCACATCGTTTATAAGTTTATAACCACGTTGAGGGCGATGCATCCGTACTGATCACAGCTATGTCGAGCGCGTAGTAGAGTACGTGATCATTCTCCATCGTGTCAAAAACTAGCATAGCTCCTATGGCCACGTAGGATGCGTACTTATCGGTCATGATGTCGTATAACTGGTGCAAGATAGCGGCGTAGAATATTGCATCCATGTCTCCAAGGAGCTTTTGCACGTGTTTTGAACTGTACTTGTTTCTGACAATCTCCATGAAATAATCGGAGTCAGACATCAGTAACGAAACAATATTCAGATCTTCTCGGCTAGCTGTCTTTGAGATAATCTCTCTAAACTCGGACACATATTCCTCGGTAGTCATTAGGTTGAATAGTTTGATTAAACATGTGTTAGATTCGGAGGTGCGTGGGGAGATACCAGGAGGAGGAGGAATAGAACCAGCTGAGGTTTCTTCTGAGAGATGGAGACGTTCTAAAGCTTCGTACTAGGTCGGCATCGAGAAGGGATTACTATGGGTCCTCATCGCTAATTAATTGTACAAGAATTAATTATTATTTAACTAGCCAGAGAAACACTAATTGATAGTCTCATGTGATATAATCTTACGTTCGAGAGATCTGAGAGTGGTTGTTAGTTGTTACGTTGTTGTATTAGAGATTTGTCGAGGGCATGTAGAGATGTATACTACATTGCGTCTTTGCTATTCTTATTAGGCAAAGGAAATATCTGGCTTGACTATCCTTTTTTGATATTTAATTGGTTCCATCATTTTTCTGTTTTAGATTACATATTTTCATTAAGAGCATCATTAATGGAGGTGCTTAAAAGAAATGCTTAGTGCTTTTTGTGAATGGATCCCAAGCAAAAGCATAAACATCTCTTAAAGTACTTAATTAAGCACTTCAAATTGCTAGTTGCTTGCACTATTTACGGGTTCTACTGACACGTGGCGATTCGTGATTGGTTTGTTTTTATTTATTTTTATTTAAAAAAAAATCAAACAAAAAAAAATCAAAAAAAAAAATAGAAAATAAGCACTCCAAATGGGGTGCTAAAGTTGAGCATGTACTTAGAAAAACTTAAAACTAACCAATCACGAGCCGCCACATGTCAGTAGAGCCCGTGAACAGTACAAAAACTTCCTAAAAGTCTCCTCTCGCAGAAGAGTTGGAAGAGGTGAGTTTTAGTTTTTGGCGGAACCCATACCCCTTAAGAGCCCCTTAAGAGCTAGGATTGAGAGTGCTCTTCGAACATTGCTTAGGAGGGGGGGGGGGGCACAAAAAAGAGAAAATTCGGTGTTTCCTATTGCTAAATAAGTGCTGTGTTTTTCTTGTTGCTTGTACTGTTCCCGGGTCTCATTGAGCCCGCGATTAGTTCTTTTTCTAATTCTTTTTTAATCAGACTAAAAAAAAAAATTAAACACCCTCAAATGGAGTGCTGGGACAATGATGCTCTTAGAGCATTTCCAATAGAATTCTTCTCATTAGAGTTCTTAATATATATGTTATGTTACATATATAAATGATTCTGGGATCTATAACTTTTGTGAAACCCTATAGATAAAGATTTTTTTAAAAAAATCTTTAAAAATCCTTATTTATAGGAATCCATAATAATTATGGACCTCACAATTATTTACGTATATATAATATATATATTAAGAACTCGAATGGAGAGGACCTTCGTTGGAGGTGGTCTAAAAACATATGTACTATATACTCTCTCATATATATTTCCCCTCTAGATGCTCAGTTGAAAACTGAATTTACAATATGATTATGGATCTCCGTGTCTCAAGTAAGTTAAGAAGGGCGGTCTGGAGCAAAAGCAACCCAATTCACGATTAGGATATCCAAATTAGAGGGGCATAATAAAAAAAATGTTAATCTATATATATCTGTAAAGTTTTTGTTAGCTAAATACGTATTACCTAATGGGCACTATTAGTTAGACTAATGTTTATTAGACTTTTCTACAATATTTATAAATGTGTTAAAAACTCAATATATATTTTATTAATAATTAATAGTGATTTTCTATTTCAAATTAAAGTTAAAACCATAATTAAAAGTTAGCCCCAAAACAGTTTTCCTCTTGTTCCAATTTATCTTTTTACGTCATTCTAGAAATATATTATTAACAGAAGAGAGTTTAATGATTGATTAATTCAACATGTTCATGGATTAAGCTTTAATTTCCTTTGATCTAGATTTGAACAATTTCAAAGGTATTAAAAAAGTTTTGGCTTTTTGTTTGATATAAAACCGCTAAAAGATACGAGTGAGGATATTTTGAGGGCCTAGTGTTTGTATCTAGAAGCTTCCTTATAGAGTGGTACACACTCAGACATAGTTGGTGATTATTTTCTAATGGACCTAAATATTTTTTGAGAATCAATATCTTTAACAATTTGAAAACTTATCGAATTAATATAAATTTTAAATAAAAATAGACGCTTGTTATCAAAACATAGAAATTGTTTATTGGATATTATCTTTACTATTATTTATTAAATTTGCTTAGTTGTCACGTTCTCCATAGATTTAGGTAATTTTATTTATTTATCATATTTTAATATTTATGTATAATTTATTTATAAATAAAAACGAATTTATAGGAATATATCATATTTTTAGAAAATAAGATAATTCTTGTGAATTATGTTGTTATCTTGAAATATATTTTATATATATAACTTAAATTTTAAATTAAGATATAAAAAATATTATATTTCTATACTATTATTTAAGAAGTAAATTTGTTTATTAACATTTTATCCTTAGATTTAGTTAATTTTGTTTATTTATCATATTTTATTATTTATAAATAAAACGAATTTATATGAATATATCATATTTTTAGAAAATAAGATAATTCTTGTGAATTATGTTGTTATCTTGAAATATATTTTATATATAAAGCTTAAATTTTAAATTAAGATATAAAAATTATTATATTTATTATATAACTAAAACGAATTTATATAAATAACTGTATAATTTTATAAAATAAGATAATTCTTATATATTATGTTGTTATGTTGAAAATATATTTTCAGATTATAAAACTTAAAATTATATTATTAATAATTAATATAAATCATCTAAACAATTATTTGAAAAGTGAATTTGTTGATTTGTCTTTATGATCCTAGGTAATTTTGATCATTTATCAGAATTTCACTTATTTTGTTTATTTTTGATTATATAACTAAAACTAATTTCTACTAATAATATGATATTTTAGAAAATAAATTAATTCTTATGTTTTATGATGTTAGCGTGAAAATATATTTTTCTGTTATAAAATTTAAAAGCGACATGTAAAAAATATATACTATTATTTAAGAAGTGAATTTGATGTTTGTTGATTTGTCATATTTTTCATGACAAATATTTATAAGAGAATTATGTCCGCAAGTACGGGCAAAACACCTAGTTGACCATTAATTCTGATATCCGGTCGCCACAGCTGAAAAGAAAATTCAAAGTTGAAACTGATAAAAGAATTACTTACGTTATAGAAGAGGTTAGAAGCTTTGACCATATTATCAATTAGAACGAATATGGTTGAAAAACTTAACTATACGACTTTAATGAGTGATATTTCCCAAACAATACAAGAAGAGATATATTTCAATATAAGTGTTCTAAATAACTAGTTTCTTATATATAGTTTATGCAATTTGATTTTTTATATAAATTTAATTTTATTATACTGTTTTATGGTTTTTCTTAAAAAAATATAAGAACACATAATTAAATTTGGTTTGGGACACTATAAATCATTAGACCGGCACTAGAGTTAAGAACAAAAACAGGAACAGTATAAACAGAATAAATGAAAATATTGTTGATTTCCCACATTACTAAGAAATGAAACTAGTCGCGCACTCTTGGGACTGAATACATGGGTGGGGGTATGTGAAGCCCTAAACAGGTAAACGTTTTTAGCTCCAGAGAAGTTGAATAAACTCGAAAACCAATGTCTGGTTGGGCAAAACGTTTTCAATCACACACATAGACTATGATAATCTTTTTTGTATCGTTCCAATTTTATCGGATGTCTGATATCTTGGATATTTTTATTGTATTAGCTATCAATTAGTATGCATATTAATCATTTAAACTAGCATTTAGAGTTAAACTTATTTTATTTGTATGTTTTCAGGTTTAGAGAATAACTAATTAGATTTTAGTACCAAAGGAGTAAAGAATGGTGCAGTAGCAGGCAACAGTAGCAGGATATAGGTGGTTACGAAGTGGCCACATGCAACTATAGCATGATATAGGTGGTTGAGACATCACCGTAGGCAACCGTAGCAGGATATAGATGGCCGCGACGTCGCCACAGGTAACCGTAGCAGGATATAGATGGTCACGATGGTGCCTCGGCAAATTGGACATGGAAGTTTCGTGGGCTGATTCGCAGGAAGAGGAGCCCATGGCCAAAAGGTGTGCATCTCAGGCTAGTGCCGCGGCCAAGAGGAGGTTATGGCCGTGTCACGAGTTTTAGCTTAGTATAAATGTGTTAGACCTAAAGTGGAGTCTTATCTCATTTTCTTTCAAGAACATCCCTCCTCTTGTAAAAGCTTGAAATTTTTGATCATTTAAAGAAGTACTTCATCTTATATTTGTGTTTCTCTTAATCATTAAAATAATTAGCCTTGAATCTCATATAGGTTTAAGGTTTCTCATGGAGATTAGTAAGTAGTCACTTTGTGATTCATGGGTTAGGTAGATTAGGTGGATATTTAGGATGTTCCTTGCTTGATTAATATTGTTCTATACTTACTAAGTGTTCTTAATGCTAGATTAGACTTGCTCACTCTCATCTAGATCTATATACTTGTTAATTGTTTTGTTTGAACATCCTAGATTGAACCCTGATCACCTTACATCCATTATCCTTGCACATGGATCCATCCTTAGCTTTTGATTGAAAGTTTAGTTCTTGCACTTATTTCTTGATCGGATTTGAGATCAACTTGTTTATATTTCTAGGATCTTAGCTTGTTACAAATCATCTCTCTTACAAACTTACATTAGGAAAGTCCCATAGATCACTAGTTCCTTGTGTATTCGATCCTAAAGTGTTACAATGACATGTTATTCGATTGTGACATTAATTGTTTACACAACATGTTAATTGGTGTGTGTGTAAACGATACTATCAGTGTCCTCGAAACTTGAGAGTTCTTGAGAACAGAGAGTTCGGTGCAGCGGAGACATTAGAAAAAGCAATTACTGACGCTCAGGAATGGCAGGACGCACAAACGGAGCAAATCTATACACAAACTCAACGAAAGCAGCTTGACCTCAACCAACTATCTCACTCGAACATGATCACAATTCACACCGATGAAGCTTGGAAGACGGAAACGCTTACGGCTGAACTGGTGTGGTCAAGCTCAGACCCATATGGAAACATCATCTTCCAGGGCACAACAAGTGAAGACTGTGTCAAATGGCGGAAGGGATGGATATACGAGAGGCCCTACTCCATGCCAAATCTCAGGGGCTCAAAAGTCTTATCTTCAAGTCAGATGCTCAGATCACCATCCGAGCTATCAACAATCAGGAATCAATCAAAGAAATCTTTGGAACTCTTCATGACATCCTCAGTTTATCTTGCGACCTTGATGTAGCTTCTTTTAGTTTTGTTCCTCGAATTGAAAACAGTACAGCTGATGCACTTGCCAAGAGAGCTCTGCTCAACTGTTCCACTATGTATCCTTTTGCTTTCAATTTTATGAATTTGCTGTTCAAAAAAAAATGTTTTGACAAATTTTATGTTCTTTAATTTTATTGAACATTGTTTAACTAATTATATCTTACAAACTTTCTTATATCTGGTTAAATTATTTTTAAGTTATATCCTTTGATCTTACAAGAGATTTTTATCTTCCGCTTCATAATGTATGATGTTTATAAAGTATTCGTTGTCTCAAAATGAAAAAAATGTTTTGACAATCATTGTTAACTTTAACTTTCTTGGAAAACTGTTTGACCAAATATTTGTTGTCTCAAAATGTATAGGTCTACAAACTTTTTTTAATAATGATTAATTATTTTTAATTTATATTTTAAAAAGAATTTAGAAGTTTTAAGGAAAAGTGAATCATGGGATTAAAATATTTTAATAATTTATAGAGTTATTTATTTATAAAAGTTTCCATTTTTGAGTTTTTATTTTGGAATATAGTTTTTATAAAAAAAAATAGTTGATTTTACCATATATATTAATTAACTTTTTGAAATTTGACTTTCATATTATGTTAAATGTATTATTAGTGTATATAATATATGTTTTATCAAACTTAAATATTTCTTAGATACAATCCAACTAAATATTAGCAAAATATAATGAAGTACTAAGAAAATATAAAGATAATTATATGTAAATATAAAGCAAACAATACAACTGTATTTTTTTACTTATATAAATGTAGATATATAATTAATTATTTATGCTTTTAACTGGATTATATATTTATATAAGATTTTCTTAAAATTATTATTTTATTATCCAATGGATTTGTGTCATATTTTGAATCAATTCAACTTGGAACTAAATAAATTTATAAAGTTATCTACAGCCTCCACAAGAACTTCAACGCTGCTCAAACAGCTCAGGTGCTGTCTTGACACCATTAGATAATAAAATAAGAGTTTATAGCATCAATGGGCAGTTTCTGTGTTTTTATTACACAGAAAGACAGTTTGTGCTATTAGCACACTTTTTAATAGTTAATTATTTCTTTGTCCTTTTAAAAGCAAAACCAGACGTGGTCATTTTGATAACAGACCAAATTATTCTAGTTAGTTTAGTTAATGGGTTTGAATTTCAAAAATACTATGCTTTGGTTGGTGGATCCATAAAAAAGTGTTTTAGTTAAGAATAAAACTAATTGATGCCCGTAAAAGAAATTGCAACTTTTTTACTTTCCCAATTCTGGACCTAATTTCTCAATTACTCTTATTATCTCCGACGGCATACAACAACGAGAACACAACAGAGTTAGTGGGGATGATAACAGAAGATGAAACGATGGTTACGAGATAACAATGATGACAAGGAGGAAGCGAGCAGGAAAAGAGATAACCGATAGTGAGTTTTTGTGTTTTAGTGTTTGTACGAAAGCGTGGCTTGAACTTGATAAGTGTGTGGGCGTGTTGAAGAGGTGGCACCAATAGAGGAGGAATCAGTGAATGAGAGGTTACCAACATGTCTGTTTGCGACTGACCAATTCTCGAATAAGAGGAATAACTGTTATTCGTCCATGGAGTACCTACTGCTGGTGAGGGATGTGCTAGAAAGGACCGAAGAGATGGAGATGGTGTTGGGTACTTGCTTTGGAAAGCTTTTTAGGTTACCGGTGAGGTGTAATTTCTTAGCGGAGGTGCTAGATGATGAGCATAATCCTTAGGTAACCAGATGTACTCTTATACCGTTTAAGTTTGTACATGTAACATGTGATGTACATGTGTACTTTAGTAATGTAAATGTATATCTAATGTACATGTGTACATTGGGAACGTAAGTGTATATATGTACAACTAATGACCTAGTTACATGTCTATATAGTTTTTAGTGGAGGTGTGTATTGATTTCGTTTTGGTTTGTCATGTTCCAATGGTTGCAGGCTTGGAACTGGCCATACAATCTTATCTTGAGTCAAGGAGTATGATGGAGTGTAGGGAGACAAGGAGGATAGCTACGACGTTGATGGTCTTATCTTGAGAATAGAGATGGTTTTTTGTTCATGGACAAGAGTCATAAATCTTCATTTATTTGAAGCACAAAATTATATGTATGATGATTGTACTTTATTAATCTTTTTGTTTTCATTTTAACAACACTTCATATACCCTCATGCATTTTAGTAATGGATCTTTACAAATTAATGATGTACCTATGAAAATTGTATAAAATTGATGTAGACATGAGTATCATATAAAATTAATGTGCACAACATACATGTACAACATAAATATCATAAAAATTTAAGTACACATGGATATCGTATAAAGTTCATGTACACTTAAACATCATATTAAGTTACATGTTCTTAAATACTACAAAATATCAGATGAACCCATAAACTGATGTACACCATTTTAGCAAACATCGCTAATAGATCTGATAGTCTAAATTGTACACTCAAAAAGCATGTACATGGATTATTTGAATATCATCAGTAAGAACATATTCCAACCATGTTAAGTACGTACAATATAAGAAAGTTTAAACGATTGGTCTGAATGTACACGTCTATATCTTAATTGACATCAACATTAGTTAGAATGTACACATGTACACAAGTTATTTGAACATCATTAGTAAGAGCAGATTCCACCATGTTAAGTACGTACAATATAAGAAAATTTAAAGTCTGAATGTACATGTGTACATATATTTAATGGAATCATGTATGTACAACGGTAGTGTACATGGTTGAACCCTGTACAGAACGGAATCTAAGTTGTGGACATGGTATTTGTAGATGGACGTATGAAGTGAATATACATAGAAGTTCGTGTACAAGTAAATTTAGATGTTGAAAAATGTACATGTACGTATGAAGTGAGTGTACATAAAAGTTCTTGGACAAGTACGTGTACATGTGTATAATGTACATGTTTTTGACATAATTAAAACAAATATGTACAATGGTAGTGTACATGGTTGAATCATGAACATAACTATAGATAATCTATGGACATGGTATTTGTACATGTATATATGAAGTGAGTGTACCTAAAAGTTTGTGTACAAGTGTGTGCAGATGTTGTGTCGTGTACATGATGTGGACGTTTAGGTCGGGAAAAACAAAAGTGTACAATGTTACTGGTACATGGTTGAACAACGTACATACTAAAACAACGAACAAATTCATGCTTGGGTGAATTAAGTGACTGAAGAAAAAAGATATGTCGCCATCGTTTGTCAGTATAACCAGAGGTGTGGTAATCCCGGTGGCAAGCTCTTGGGTGTTTGGAGGCCAATAACTCAAGACCGTCGGAGGAGCAGAGTTGGTGAAAGTGAAGAACTCTTTCTCGACATTGTTTTGTAACTCAGTCAACGCCATCCCTACACGAACGGGTACAATCCTTAACATCTTCTTCTTGTCGTTCACAAAACTCCAAACAAATTCTCCAAAGGTTCATGCTCCAGAGATAACCATGACATGGATATCTATGGTGAATCTGCAGAAATAAAACAGTTATGAGTTAAAAAAAACTATCTTTTGTGTCATAATTTGTGTGTTAGAAAATAAATCTTCTTCTTTGCGAACAATAATCAACTATGAGACAAAAAGGATAAGCTCTGAGATTAACTGTGAAAAAAAAAAGGAGGAGATGAAATTGACTTTAGGAACGAAATAAAATCTATACCGTTGATTTGTAATGTGTAAAAGGATCCAATGGCTGGGGTTAGAGACAGATAAATATCTTGTCATTGAAACTATATCACAATCTGGACCGTTCATTAGAAAGTTAGATGTGTGGTGGAGAATTGTTCCCGCCAATAACAAAATATAGTTAAGTCTCCTATTAGTTATAATAGAACTAGGTATTTAATGTCAAAGCTTGTTGTTAGAAAAAATTGTCTATGTATAACAAACTGTCTTTTTATGTTATAAAAAACATAAAACTGTCCATGAATGTAATACTTTACTTTCAGTACTAAACCTAACTTTCACACCTTAAACAACACCTAACGCCTATACTTTTCACTATAAGAAAATAGGATATTGCGACAAAATATTCCATCATAGATAATAATCTGTAACAATATAGTCATTGTTACATTTTTTACCAATTTTAATGGTTATAATATCTATATCACAAATGTTTTTGCGTAACACAAAAAAAAAACACTATTTGCGACTAATCATATTTGTAGCAATACATCACAACTAGTTAGGTTATACGACATTTAACAATACTGTTGCAACTTTTTACATATCAAATTGTTTCAACTCAGGCTTAATTTGTGATGGTTATAATGTGGCCACTATGTCACTTGTAGTAGTAGATCCATTATCACAAAATATTTAATAAAAGACTAAATGTAACTGTAATTAATCATAATAGTATAATTGGATCCATCGATAAAATTTTAATTTTAATAAAAATTAAATACAAAATAATGGACATATAATTATGTATAATAAAATATTTAAGACTACGGTTAAAATTAAAGCTAAAATTCTGTGAATACAAAAAAAAGATTTGTTTACCAATTAAAGTTTGGTAATATATTAAAACCAACTTACCAATTAAGATTGGTTTATAAACCTAAACAGGTTAAAGCAGTTGAATAAACTCAAAAATATGGAAGCACATGCAAATAATATATACTAGATTTTGATCCGCGCTTGAGAAGCGCGGGTTTTGTTTTGGTTGTAACAAAATGTATCAAATGATTTTATTTCTATTATATGATAGTTTTATATGTGGAATTTGAAGTATATTTAACATTTTAGTAGGGTCTTTTCATTGAGTTTTGCATAATTGAGTCAGTTTTTGGTTGAACCGAGAATCAGAAAATTAAGTGTTTTGAGAGTATGAATAATTAAAACACATATTAAATTGAAACCAAAATTGGATGGGTCCATGGCCCATAGTTTTGAAAAACAATACTATAGAAAAGGACTGAAACAAAAACTGGTTGGATTTCTAACGGTTCTGGAATGTGGAAAAATTTTCCTGTGGTTACAACTTAAGCAGCCAAAATAATATCATCCCCAATCTGTATCAATGGCATAGATTTTCGCAACAACCCTACATATTTTTTACTAAAAAAACGATAAATCCATCAATAAACAATCAAAGAGATGCAAACTTCCATATTAGTATAGTTTTTGAAAATGCAATACCTCATATGTTTCAAGTAACTGCTGAAGATTCTTTTGAGGATAATGCATCTATTTATCTCGCTTTATCCGCAACTCAAGCTTGTTCTCGTTTGATTCAGACAGGGTTAACGCTTGAGAATCATCATTACCTCTACAATTATAAATAAGTTTTATAATTTAATCTATACTATTATAAAGTGAAAACATTTTTATTGAAGTAGATAAATACCGTTGTTTAGATTCATCTGCCTCTGGTATTTCAGGATTAACAAACATTACTGGGTTGCAGGTCAAACCCGCCCCGCTGACCCGCCAACCCGCGGGTTGTAATTTTTTTTTTTGTCAAAAATTCCAACCCGCATAACCGCCGTTCGTATAAATATATATCTGCACCCGTCCCGTTTAATTTTGCGGGTAACCCGCAGGACCCGCGGGTTATATTTTTTATCAGATAATTATTTAGTTTATTTAATAAAAATTATATATTTTTTAAAAAAAATAATTCTTATTTTTTAAAATCACCATATTTTAAAAAGTATTTATTTATTTTTACAAAAAAAAAATTCTAACAAAAATACCCAATTTAAAAATAAAAAATAAATGCGGGTTGGCAGGTACCCGAATTCAAAATCCACCAATCCGCACCCGCCTTGCATAAAATACTCATAACCCGCACCCGCCAATTAATTTTTTCAAATTGTTCGACCCGCACCCACCCCGCAGCGGGTTAAACGGGGCGGGACCCACGGGTGATGACTCAGATTCTCAGCCCTACTTACATCATAAGCATTTGAGATTTGGACCTCACCTATAACCAAAAATAAATCAAAAGCATTTGAGTAAATCTATATAAAACAAAAAAATATTATCATTTAGGTTAAACTCTTACAAAATGAAGATATCTAAATCATAAATCTATATAAAACGATAAACTTACATTTGCATCACAAAGGATAAGTTTCATGGTCTCCCCTATGTCTTTCATGAAATGACTTGGATAAGACATGTAGTCTTCCTCGATTTTATATCGCTCAAGAAAGACAACTACAAATTATTCGCCATTTTTGTTTTAGGTTTTTCAAGGAATGATGAATGTAGTGGTAGAGAGGGTATATTTATAATAGGTAGGGACGATATACATTTAAGTTACGCAAATGTAGGGCAGAATATTTAGAAAATTTTAAAAAATATCTCTTTCGAAGAATAAGGAATATTTCTTGAAGATACTTTGAATTAGATAGGAAGTTTAAAGTTTAGCAGTTAATGATAATCCAACTACGGTAAGTTACCAAAATTTATGGAATCCAACCAAACAATAACTAACCACGATATTGATTATGGTTAATCTGTAATTTGTAGATGGAGTAATTTGTTTATTTTAGTTGGAAGATAATTACAGAAAATAGTTTTTGCAATATTTTCTTAACAAAACGTATCTCGTCTATTAAATGTCACCATGAGAATGATGATATATCGACATATGAAAAAAAAAACATGAAATGAAGGATATTTGGATGGATTCTCCATTCTCAAATGTCTTGAAATGGAGAAAAAGCATGAAATTAAGGACATTTTAATGGATTCTCTATTTTCCTTATATTTGAAATGATTTTGAGGTATGAAATAAATGATAGAAGTAGTGAGACATTAAAAAATGTTTGATATAGTATGCAAAACTCATAAAATGTTGATATAGACAATATATTATATAATACATTAACAAATGTCTACAACTATAACAAAATCTTAATATATGTAATATGAAGTGTAGTATGAGTTTATATCATATAGTCTTTGAAATATAAGGTGTAGTACAACTATATGAAAATCTTAATATATGAAATACATCATGATATCATGGTTAGACTAATATGAGTTTATAAAGTATAATCTTTGAAATATAAGGTGTAGTACAACTATATGAAAATATTAATATACGAAATATAGCATCATATCATCGATATATGAGACGATGATCAATAAAAAAATTATAATGTTGGAAATACATATATATATATATATATATATATATATATATATATATATATATATATATTACACTGGCTACAAAGTGTAGGCTAGTGTAGTATGAGTTTATATCATATAGTCGCTGAAATATAACGTGTAGTACAACTATATGAAAATCTTAATAAATGAAATATAGCACCATATCATGGTTAGAGTAATATGGGTTTATAAAGTATAAACTTTGAAATATAAGGTTTAGTACAACTATATAAAAATATTAATATATGAAATATAGCACCATATCATCTATATATGATGCATATACCAAAAAATGTCAACCAAAAAATTATAATGTTGGAAATCTGTAGATTGAAATCGTGTAATATAAAGTGTATAACACAATATAAATGTATGAAATATAGAATGAAATTTAGTTAGAGTAATTAATGGGAAGAGAGGGAATAATTCGGGTATATATAATATGTGATATGGTTTGTAACAAATTGATATATATATATATATATATATATATATATATATATATATATATGTAAGCCTAAACAATAAATTACCAAAATGCCATTAATGAGAGTGCATACAAATTCCATCAGTCGATTTTTTAATGGTGTCTTTACTTTTAATAGTATAGATTCTCTCTGTTCGTGATACATAATGTTTCAGAAGGTTTTTGTTATTTGAATGTAAGATGTTTTGACAATTTATGTTAACCTTTAATTTTATTGAACATTGTTTAACTAATTACATCTTACAATCTTTCTTATAACTGGTTGAATTATTTTAATTTATATCCTTAAAAGTGTTTTTAAGTTTTAAGAGAATATTCTTTTAGTTCATGTTCTTAACCAAAAACATTATACATTACGAAAAACAGAAGAATATGAAAACGGAAAAAAATTGTCATTTAAATCACCAACTTTTAAATTTGGTTGAAATAAAGCGCCAATTTTCTCGTAAGCCAAAAAACACTCAACTTTTGTTGACAAGCCATTTTAATCACATACTTTCATCGACCATACCAATTTTTAGTCATATCGGTAGTCAACAGTTATAGTTGATTAACGGTAAATCTAAAATGGCTTTCAAAGTTGATGTTTTTTGGCACAAATATAAATAAATATTTTCTACAATATTGGATATATATTAAATATTGAAAAAATATTTTTATAACTGAAGCACTACTAAATAAAGTTATAAATATAAAATCCAATCAAAAATATAAATAAAACTCAATGTAAAATAATTAGTTAACATGTCATTAATTGAGTATCTTAGTTATAAAATGATAAAAATATTTTAATTATTTAGGATTAATATTTGTGAATATTTTTATAATCCTATTTTAATTATATTTATAATTTTATTTTCAAAAGTTTGTTGATGAAATATTAATTCAACTCTTGATTATTAAATGAAAAGATTTATCGGTTAATGAATTCTTCATGATTCTTTATATTTATAATAAAGATCTTCAAAAAAATCTATATAATTTCTATAAACTTTTTACAAGAATTTTTATGCATTTAAAGAAAAATAAGTTTCACAAAAATTATAACTCTTTTTGTTATCTGATAACTATGGTCCAAGAAGATCATGTTGAGGCTGGCTCCACAGTCGTAGCAAAACCAATATCCACACCTATAAGGTTACATATAAGAAGAATTATATTCGTATAATTAAACGCAACCTTTATATATATATATATACCACCAAAAATAAACAAATTCTCGACAAAAAAAAAAAAGAAAAGAAAATTGTCTTGCTGCATGGAGGATTGTGTCTAGAACTATTACCTACAAGTCATGTTCCTGCATCCATTAGAACGTTCAACCATGTGGTTGCACTTGCCGCATTGACGCCACCCATTACGATTTGCAAGAGAAATCACCTTTGCATTTTGAGTATCAGGATTCCGTTTCTTGTAGTCGGTGCACGATAGCATACCATGCCATGGAGCCTTGCAGTAGTAGCAGAAGGAGCCACCACATTTAAAGCATCTCCCATGTCCACATGCAGAAACTAAAACAAGCTCGGTTCTGGACATCAGGTAAGAGCACCTCTCGTAAGGACAATAAACTCTCTCATTGTAAGGAATTAATTCCTCTTTAGTCATCTCTTTCCACCTCAAACTCATGTCGGGAGTCAAAAGCTTGCCACATGTATCAACAGACAGCCGGGACGTGCAGCCTTGCTTGAGACAATTCGGTAAGGTGCCATCAAGCAGCTTCACAGCTAGTTTCACACAATTAACACAAAACCGGTGGACCGCATCTACTATCAACAGAAAACATGAGATCATAATCAATATCGTCATCGAAACAGATCACACAAGACTCTTGCTCATTAATTCTCTGAAGAGGATACATAGTTCTTCTTCCCATGAGGGTCATGTAGTCGTCTTGTAGCTGTCCCTCAGTCTTAAGCACGAGATTATTTACTGTAACCCCAAATCCAGCTTTCTTAGCTTCGTTAGCTTGGGTAAGAAGATAGAAATCTCTTGTGGTTTTTGGCTTCTTTATAACCTTATAAGAAGATGATTCTAGGTATGTGCCATAATCCAGCATAACAAGATTGCTAGACCGGATGAGTCTTCCTCTCATGGTTTGCGCATCATCCTTTAGAAGAGCAATTTTTTTTCTTCATTTTCGTGGCTTCAGCCAAACCACGCGTTAGAGCTCTAATCTCAGCTTCCTTGTAGGTCAAGTAGTCGTCGTTAGCGGGTCCCTTACTGGTCTTATTCATCAGTTTCTCCTCAAGTTTCCTACCACCGTGGTTTCTAGTGTGAATAGTAATCATGATTTTCAATAGCTTTGAGGAGTGTGAGCTTTTTTTGTGAGCTCTTGCGAGAATCTTCTTTTAGATTTGGTATCAAAGCTAGCGCAAATCATGATTATAGTTAACAATATTCCGAAACAATCGGGGAGAATATTTCATTTTGGTAAACATAAGATGTGGATAAACCATTTTTGTGAAAATTTAACATCATCACAAAAATAACATTCAAGTCTGATATTTTAAGGAATACCTGTAACGTTATAATTACATTAAGAAATAAAGCCTAAAATAGCTTCAATCCAAAATACAGATATGAAAATTAAATTTAAACAAAAATGTAATACAAATATATACCCACTCTTTAAAAGACGGGTCAGTATCTAGTATTAAGTTAAACTAGAGGTTGACCCGCACGCCCATGCGAGTGTTAAATTTTACATTTTTATAATTTAATTTTTTATTTTTATAAGTTAAGTTATATTTTATATATGCTATCATATAACTAACTGAATATTTTTAAGTTCTATACATCAGAACTAAAGCCGAATCAAATAAGGTAATATGATTATTTTGGTTATTTGATTATTTTTAGTCTGGATTTAAAATACCGAATCAAATCGGTTAATATATTTATTTTGGTATAAATATCCGAATATGTTTTGGATTCAATAGGTTTTACGATATTTTAAAATTTTCATACATCAAGAATCCATACAGACTTCATACTTAGGTGAAACAATAAATAAAGCGATTATTTAGTAGAGACAATAAATGAAGTGATTATTTAGTAGAGACAATAAATGAAGTGATTATTAAGAAAATATAACAAATGAAATGGTTAGAATTAATTAAAAATAGAAAGAGAATCTGTAAAAAATCACTTAAAATAGTCAAATATTGTTTTGTACTTCGGTTTTAATAGAATAGAATAGACTAGGATAAGAAAGCGCATGGTGATTATATGTAATTAAAATATAAAATTTTAGTATTGACAAATTAAAAATTTATATATGATTGTTTTTATCTGTATTTGCAATTTTGAATTTTTTATATAATTATCCATATGTAAAATCAGAAACAATTGTAATTAGAATTGTAGATCAAAACCTAGAATTTAAAGGATCCATATATTTTTTCACTTTTCAATGTTCAAGTGATGAAAAATAAACGGAGTGTCACTTGACTTAATTGGTAAAACATTATCAAGTTCTCTAATGCTTTCTTAAGAAGCACTTGGTAGAATATTTGTATTTAGAATATATAAAGTTTCAAAACTAATTTAATATAATTTATTTATTTTCTAATAATATCAGAAAATTAAATTTTTAACAGTAAATTTTTAAAGAAAAGTTAATTTTATACAAAATTAAGTAAAATTTTAAATTATAATTAGGTTTAAAATAAAATTATTTATTCATACGATATGATATATATATATACTAGTTGTTTTGCCCGCAAATACGGGCATGATTATCCTATGAATATTTATCAATTAATGTTTCATTAATTTAAAAACCATCATAATAATCTATTATTTATGTTTTCAAAAATTACAAATCAAACATCAAATAATTATCAATGATAAAACTCAAACATCAGAAATATTAAAATAATATATTTCTATAATTATTTTTCTTGATTTATATTTAATTATAATATCTATACAAATATGTTTACTTAATTTATATTTAATTATAATTTTTATATCTTAATTTTAAAATTTTATAATAGAAAAACATATTTTCAAGATAAAAATATAATGCATAAGTTATTTATCATTTATTTTCTAAAAATATAATATGATAATTTTTTTTTAATTATATAATTTTGTAAATATTATGACATATAACTAAAATTCTCTAAAATCATGAGAACTTAATGAATCAGCAAATTCACTATTTAGATAGTTTTTGATGATTTAAATTCAATTAATAATAGATATTTTCTATTTTAATTTTAAATTATATAATATAAAAATATATTTTCAATATAACGAAATAATTTATAAGAATTACCTTATTTTCTAAAATTATAATATCATTAGTGTAAATTTATTTCAATTATAGAATAAATACAACTTTTTATATCTAAATTTTAAATTTCTAATAGAAAAATATATTTTCAAGACAACAACTTAATACATAAGAAGTATCTTATATTCTAAGAATCTGATGCTATTAATATAATTTTTTTAAAAAATATATACTAAACTGTATATAAATTATAGAAATTATGATAAATTATATATAAATTATAAAAATTATGATAAATTATCCAAATTACCTAAAATCATGAAAATATGAAAAATCAGCACAAATCAAATTCACTTCTTAAATAATAGTATAGATTTTTACATGTTAATTTTAAAATTTATAATAGAAAAAATATATTTTAAAGATAACATCATAATACATAAGAATTAACTTATTTTCTAAAATCTCATATTGTTAATATACATTAGTTTTAATTATATAATCAATAAAAAACAAAATTAGAGAAATTCTGATAAATGATCAAAATTACCTAGGATCATGGAGACAAATCAACAAATTCATTTTTTAAATAATTGTTTTGATGATTTATATTTAATTATTAATAGTATAATTGTTATATCTTAATTTCAAGTTTTATAATAGGAAATATGTTTTCAACATAACAACATAATACATAAGAATTCTCTTATTTTAGAAAAAAATAAAATTATTAATATAAATTCGTTTTTGTTATATAATAAATAAAGAACTTTGATATTATAATTTAAAATTTAAGTTTTATATCTAAATATATATTTCAAGATAACAACATAATTCACAAGAATTATCTTATTTTCTAAAAATATGATATATTCATATAAATTCGTTTCATTTATAAATAAATTATATATAAATATTAAAAATATGATAAATAAATAAAATTACCTAAAATTATGGAGAACGTGACAACTAAGCAAATTTACTTCTTAATAATAGTATAGATTGACATAAACACCTATTAAAATAAAATTATTTATTCATATGATTTTATAATCATTGTAATTTATTATAGAAAACAAAAATTAGACCTTGATCACAAAAGTTTATGTGAGATTTTTAACATTTTTAGTAATTTATACTCGTTTCAAAAGTTTCAAAATACAACATTTATAAAAATCTAATTTTTATTATGTAATTAATGCAGTTGTGTAATTTATTTTAATAAAAAAAATAAACAAAAATGATATAAAGTATACAAATTTTTAAGAAATCTTTATTATTTAAAATCATTAATAGTCATATATATGTTAATCACATTAGGTAATTCCATATGTTTTATTTAAGGAAATAATATATAGAAGATTTAGTTTGATATGTTATTTAGTTTGATATGTCTTATATGAGACCAACAGATCTTATTTTAAAACTATGTTTTATATAAGATGTTTTACAATCCTTGTAAATTGAAATAGAATGCATAGAGAGGTACCACGTAGAATGAGTTATTTTTTAATTAATACAACTTTAAAGTTACAACTTTTCAAATGTTTCTCAATTAATATATAGGGGATATCTAAAATGGTGTATTAAAAACACAAAAATATAAAATGGTGTAATTATTAAATGTATAGTCAAAATAATTAATTATTTACCAATACACTAATAAGTAGTAACAGATACGTCAAACAATCTTTTACTATATACTTTTATAAGGATTCTCTATTATTAGTATAGGATCTACAGATACTCAACATTTTAAAAAGAATATGGAAATTATGTCATTTTTTTAAAGAACTTTCCCTTACAATAGATATAGACGGGCCTCGTTATAAAAGCTAGATTTATCTCCTTTGGTTTTCATTCATTTCCTTCATGCTCAACTTAAGTTTTCTTTCAAGAGTCTGCCCATCATGAACGATTTACCGGAGGATGAGGTTGTCTTTGTTGAAGCTACTCCTGTCGCTGCTCAACCTGTTGAAGCTATTCCTATCGCTGCTCAACCTGTTGAAGCTATTTTTCTCGAGGCTGATCCTATTGAAGACAAACTTGACCAGAAGGAGGAAGACCTCCTTTCTGCTTGCTGCAAGCTAATTAAAGTAACCTCCGATTGATGTTCTGATTTTTTTATTTTCTTGATGTTGATTAATTTCTATTATTTGGTTCACTCAATCGTTTTGTTTTTATTTCCAGAGGTATCCACAACTTGATAGTAACTACACTGGTCCTGAAAGAATCATGGGAAGCCTCGATTTTACTGAGTTCTTTGTTGCATGTCGCATGCACACTGACCGAGGATTAAAGTTTGGATAGAAGCACAGTGAGAGCCAACTTTGCTCATGGGCGGTGGACCAAAAGTATTGAACGTATGTTATCATTGGGAGATGTTGATTTTAATACAGGGATGATCTTCAGACAAGAAAGTTATGTCGCTCTTGAAGAATTCAAACAAGAATTGGGACTGAAGTTGTACACGCATATTCGAAAGAGCCTTAGAGAGATCCGAGTATCACTTAAATACAATGTTAGATCAAAGCCGTGGATCCTGGATGCCAATAATAGCAATGATGACGGGTGGTGGACTATAATCTTGCTTTTTCTAGTGCAATCAAGAGATCTTCAATAGTTGCTTCTCTATTGCTATTATTAGCATCCAGGATCCACGTCCTTGATCTAACATTGTATTTAAGTGATACTCGGATCTCTCTAAGGCTTCTTCGAATGTGCCTATACAACTTCAGTCCCAATTCTCGTTTGAGTTCTTCAAGAGCGACATAACTTTCTTAACTGAAGATAGTCCCTGTATTAAAATCAACATCTCCCAATGATAAGATACGTTCAATAATGTTGGTCCACCGCCCATGAGCGAAGTTGGCTCTCGTTGTGCTTCTATCCAAAGTTTCATCCTCGGCCACTTTGTGCATGCAACATGCAACAAAGAACTCAGTAAAATCGAGGCTTCCATGATTCTTTCAGGACCAGTGTAGTTACTATCAAGTTGTGGATACCTCTGGAAATAAAAGCAAAACGATTGAGTGAACCAATTAATGG